CGTGCTCTAAAAATAATGAATTTAAGTTTCTACAGTAATATATATATATAATATAATAATAATAATAACATATAATATATAACATATAATATATACGACAATAAGTCGTAACATCTATTCGATCTAGACTCTTTACATAGAATATTCATATATAATGAATTGGTATAATCATTTTTTACTAAATCTTATATGTAATAATAATAAATGAATTATTAATTTTTCTATTATACATGTAACTATGGCAACATTTTTTAACAAGTTTGACTTAATATAAGTACTTCATTTTTACATTTTTATTCTAGTGACACTGGTCTTAAGCAATTCACCAGATATATAAAAGAAAACAAAATTTTCACGTAAATAGAAAAATGACATAATGACTCTCTTTATATGAACATAAATAATTAAATACGACTCACTGTTTTCTCTTTTCACAGTCAGTAGTCTTTTGTATTATGAGCTTATTACGTTGTCTAGTTACTTTGGTTACAGGACGACCAGCGGCAGAAATTTGTTTCAATCCCTGCTGTGGAATTTTGGCTGGACTTGCCGTACGTGGTGCCGTTGGACCTTTAATCAAAGCTTCAACATCTGCCAATCGTTTTCTTAAAGCTCGATTTTCTCTTTTATATTTGGTTAATTCTGTATCATTATCTAATCTCTCATGTCCCGAACTACTGGTTTCCTCAGCAATATGCCTAAACATTAAATGTAATTTTTCTTCGTGTTCTCTTTGCATCAATACAATTCTTCTTTCTGCTTCCAATTTAGTCTGTTTTAAAGCATTAGTTAAAGTTTGTATACGCCATTCCTGAACCTCAACGTGAGTTTCAAGTTCAGCAGTTTGGACTTCCAAATTTTTGGAACTCTCTTTGAGATCGATCACCTTAAGAAAATATTTATAAAACAAAGTTCTCATTTCACCGTCAGAAAGTTTTGCCAATCGTTCCATTAACATACGTTCTCCCTTTTCACGTTGGGATTGATTTTCATCAAAACCTTTCCGTCCACAGATCATTTCATTTTTATGCTCTATCATTGCATCAATTGCTTCGATAGTTTCTCCACATTCTAAGAGTTGGCGTTCTTCTACTGTGCTTAAAGTTTTTTCTTTTTGAAATTTTTCATCCAAATCACATTTTTCATCAACCAGACAATCTCTCGTACGCCTTAAATTTCGAATTTCATGACGAAGTGCTTCCTTCTCGTCAGTATCTGCTGTTCTCTCTAAATCCATTGATTTTTCTTTCAAAACGTGATCAAGATGAGATATTCTAGCGCTTACATCTTGTAAATTTTTCTTCTTCTCGGAACAAAAACCAGCTTTTAATTTAGTATTATTCTTTTCATCTTCACTCTCCGATTGGATTTCTTTTAATTTAGATGCTGTTAGATTATATTTCTCTTCTAATTCACGAATCTTTTTCTGATCTTCAGCCAATTCATCTTCCAATGCTCTTTTACGTTCTTCCTCCTTTTTCAATTGCTTTTTTAATTTTTCCATTTGTTTTTTAGATGTATTCAACGAACTTTCAAGCTCCAAAACTTTCTTAGCCGAATCACCGGCTATCTGTTTGATCATTTCTATATCCATTAATCTTTTTTCATAATGTATCGCCAAATTTTTATATAACTCAATTTCCTTTTTATGGGTTGATTTTTCTTCTGAATCCTTATATATGGATGCATTTTCTGCTTGTGCTAATTGAGATCTGGTATTGTAATATTCTTCCTCTAATTTACTCCATTTTCTTTGAAATCTATATTTTGCACTCGCTCTAGCATCTGAATTTTTGACCATATCTGCAATAAAACGTTCCTTGATTTTTATAGTCGTTTGTAATTCCTCAATACGTTTATGGGCTCCATCTAAATCTGATTGAATTTTTCTGACCTGTGTCTGCTTAGCTTCGTTATTTAATGTCAATGATTTTAATTCTTTGATCGGTTCTGGAACATTTGTAGTTTTAAGAGCATCTATCAATAAATCTGGAGAGTTATCATTTTGAACGGTAAGATTTTCATTACCGAGTGTTACAGATTCGTAATTGTCAAAAATATTAGTATCTGTGAATTCAGTTGTTTTTTTATTAAGCATATGATTTTGATACGGTTTGAAGTTATCATTAAAAGCTAAAACTTCCTTACACATTTCTGAACCAGGAAGCATAGAATTTCGCCTGGAATTTGGATTCCTAGTAGGAATTGGTTTTGCTAATGGAACATAATTATTATTAGCATTAATAGATTTTATCATAGTTGGAAGGATTTCTATATTAGTTTCTCTAAATATATCTTTCTTTGACTCAACAATAGTATCTGTATCTATTTTCAATTTATTCATACATTCGTTGAGTTTCTCTAAAAAGTCTGGACTTTCTGAACTTACATCGCTATGATCATCCTCATCCTCATCATCTTCATCTTCTTCAGGTTCTGATATATCACTATCCGTGACTGACGAACTATTAGAATTATTTTTTAATTCTCCTCTATTTATAGATTCGTCAGTTTTCTCATCAGTTTCTGTTACCTCTTCAATTCTTTCTAAAGATTTTCTAGTATTTTCAGGAAAACCATGTAAACTAGCCGTATCGTCATTAGTAATGCACTCTTCGTATTCCTGTTTCATACAAAGCCATTGTTCGATTTGATCTTGTTCTGTATGTGGTAAGATATTACTTGTCATAAGTTTGTTGAATAATCCTTCTGCATTAGAAACTAACTTAGACCATTGTGTTGCTGCAAATTGCAATCTGAAAAGGTCAGCGCTAGAACTGCGTTCTCCTGATGTAGCAGAAGTCATTGTATCATGCGTTTCATCTCCAGTTTGTTCACTTTCTTCTTCATCCAAATCTTGTTGTTCTTGATTACGATGTTGAAATTGTGGCAGCACAGCGATATATGGGGTGTAATACTGATGGTTATCCAAGATTGCTTGTTGATGAATCCAAGGCCCGTAATGCATCATTTTGATGAATGATTCTAATTTTTCAATCAAATAGAATAATCATATGTATAATGATAAGGGTAATTTGTCTTAATAATATATTATTTATTGCAAATACTTACATTGAAATGGTAGCAATTGAATGTGATAAATTCCCTTTCTATCTTCAAGAAGTTACATATTTTATTCTTGCTTAGCAAATTACACATAAACCTCAAGAAAATATTTCATTTGCATTTAACTTTCCCAGCATTCTATAATATAAATAAAGAAAGAAAAGAAAATTTATAAGAGAGAGTCCCTATAATTTTCCATTACATCAAATATTTTGAGGAAAGAAAAAACTCGTGAAATGATTTTCTCTATTTTCTTTTTTCTTCGAAAATATAAAAACATTTAAAAGAAAGAAATACAAATTAAGTCACTTGTATAAAAATTTCTAACCTATAAACTTAATTATTAATTTAGATATATATGATATGGATAATCGAGAGAGTATAAATGAATTATTCTTGTCCACGTTTTGTAAAATGAAATAAATACAGAATAGTTACATACATTTGTTTATATTTTATAAAATACTTTTCGATGATAATAAAATTAAATAACGCACAGTAGCAAGACTAGTAGCTGTCACTTATTTACGTTCGTTGCTGCCATCTTGATCGATATTTCTCGCTAATTATTCGTACGATATATATATTTTTATTTAATTTTAAATTAGATATAAAAATATAGAGAGAGAAATGCATAATATATTTTTACATAAATAATAATTATTGAAACAAATTAAATAAGATAGAAAGAAAATTAATTTACCGATTACGATAAATTCATTATGCATGGAATTCTATTCTCTGCAGAGCGGGAAAGACAAATTTAATCAGGATAAAAAAACAATTAAATTAAAAGATTTTCATTTATAAACCGTAAATAAAAATAAACATCGTAAATTAAATTAATTTTATAAAATAATCGGGTGAAAAAGAAACCAAATGATTGCACGATCAATTGCCTTTTTTGTTTTGTTGTTTTTTAACACTTTTTCGTTTATTTGTTTTCCTGCTAGTATTCTTTTTTTTACCATCTTTCTTCTTTATTGTTTTACTAGCCACTTTAATGTCTCTCAATAATTCGCTCGTTTGCATTTCATTGAGTTGCTCTTTTTCACTATCTTGATCGCTGGTCGACAAAGAATTATCGTCCTTTTCATTCAAAATATTTGTTAAATTTTTGTTTGATCCCCTATTCGTCGACAAGGATGCAATTGCACTAATTTCTGGAAGACGTACATCCTCTGATTTTTTTTTTCTCTTGTTTAATTTTGGTGTGCTGCTAAAATATTTATAAGGATTTTCTTTCAAAGAATTTTTCGTTATATTCGGAGTTTCTTCTTCATTTTTCAACAAAGTAGTTTCTGTCGACTTCATAGGAAGATTAATTTTCTTATCAGATTCGTTTATTTCACGTGCAACTGTTTGCACATTTGTTTTATCAAACATTTTGTTTAAAGCTGTTTTTGATTTGTTTTTACTTGTATCATTTGTTCGTGTTCTTCTCTTACGCAAATTTTTGACTGAATCCTCTGTTATCGATGAAGATTTGCTTTCCTTTTTTTCACGGCTTTCCTCATTCTTGGTGGATTGGTCTATATTATTTTTTGTAAATGTATCTTTTAAAGCTGCTTGTACCTTGTTTTCATTGACTGAAATATTTTCTTTTATTTTTTTCTTCGTTACAGTATTCGTAGAACTTTTTTCAAGATCTTTCTTTTGCTTGTTAATCTTTTGGGTCTTAATAATTGTATCTAAATTTTCTTTAACAAGTTTATTTTTATTTCTTCTATTATTAGATTTTGGTCTTGCTTTATCCTTCATTGAATTCGACGAGTAATTACTATTTCCATTTTCGATTTGTAACTCTTTTAGATCCTGTTCAAGGCTACTTTGTGAATTTACTTTCTTTGTATCATTACTTTCAATATCTCTCGAAATACTCTCTTCATCTTTTTCTTCCTATACATTTAGTAATTAAAAAAACAAGAAAATAAATTAATAATAATAATAATAATAATTTATATAACATATCATTATATTTTCAATTAAATAGAGAAGTAGAATAGTGCAAACATACAGAAAATTCAATAAGTATATTATTTTTTGGAAAAAAATCGAAAGAATAACAACGTGTATATACCGTTATGTATTCATCAAAGTTATTGGAAACTTTAGATACTTTCTTCCAAATAAAATGACGATTATCATCAATAATCCGTTCGAATGCAGCACTCAAATTGAAGATCTTGAATGGTTTAAAATATTTATTAAATATTTTATTCATTTTTGGCGACAAAGTATTGTCTTGTGTCTCAATACTTATTAAATATGGAAGTGCTTCGTTTGATTTATAAGCCATAAACAACATAATATTATATATTTCCCCGGGATCGATCTGTTCTATCCCTGACATATGTAAATGAATTCGTGTAAATCCAAGATTGGCGTCTAAGGAACAGTTTACTGTATCTGAGAGAATATTCTAAACACAAAAATACAATACGTTACGTTTAAATATTAATCATTAAATTCAAACAATTTATTATAGATAACCTTTAAATTGTTGTATTGTTCTTGACGATAACTATAACAATTGACGTGTTGTTTGCAACATTTTAAAAATGATTTCAAATTTTTATTTTTATCCAAAGGAAATTCTGAAAGAATATCCTTCATATCAGTCGAAGGTGGCATCACCCATTTTCCTAATTTCAAATTATTACCAGTAGTCAAAATTTCTACGCAAAATAAATTATCGTTCGTAATTTTTTCTCCTGTTGAAAATGCGAATACTTTAATATTGCTCATTTTGACGCATTGTATTCCAGAAAATCTGTATAAATCTTTTTTCAAATGAATGCTCGTATATGGGATATTATCAATCCCATTTGAAGATAAATTAAAAGCATGCCCATGTTTATCTAACTGTTTTTGTAATATTTTTATAGTGTCTGATTCTTTTATTATATCCTTTTCTAATTTTTTCTTTAATAACGAAGTTTCCTCAATTTCATCTGTCAACAAATGTGATTATTTACTTTTTTCTTTTTAAATACTTTTCTCAAACTTCTATATATTTATAAATAATAATTTATTTGTATTATTTTCATTGGAATTTGTTTTATTGTTGAACTTAAATAAAATAAGTTGTTACTATTTTACCCTTATCCGAAAATTTACGCAAATGTATTCCAAAATCCTTCAACAATTTTTCTTTCGTATTATTTTGATCAAGTCCATTATCTTCTTCTCTATTCGGCATTGTTTGAAATACTAAATTTACGATTAGTATTGAGAGATTTTTAGAAACATGTTCAAAATAAATTAAAACAGCCGAAACAACGCCTTTTGTTTATTATTTCAGTTTAACTATGTGTGTGGTTGTAGTTTATTTTAAATATTGTATATTGTAGTTAAAAATACGAAGTATAAGTTCGGTGCACCGTACTCCTCGAAATTCACTTTTAAACTGAGTCGTTGTTTTCTGTCAAAGTTCTTTTATTAAATGTTGTTTATATGACTTTCCGAAGGTTGCGCATGTGTATAATATTATTTAATATTCCTAATAAATAGAATTTAAGATTATAACGTTCTGATTTTAACTTATTTAGATGCCCGATATAGAATTTGATAGGGTATTCACATACACATAAAAAAAAGAGTATATTTTAATTTAATATAAGCGTCACTAAGATTCGTTCACTCTAACTATACAAAATCTTGACGCGAACTTTTCAAAAATATGACAGCAGTGTGCACTTTTCAGCATTGCATTCTGTGAAATTTTATGCCCTTCCTAATGCTGGACTTCTACTTTTCAAGCCATTCTATAAATTTTAGACACAGCACATTTTTATTATTTATAAATATTTTTTCTATTTTTTATCGCACAAGTATGAACAAGTATTATTATAGAATATATATATAGAATTGAAAAATATAGAAAGGATAAGAATTGGGAATATTTATTAGCAGGATATTGATAAATTTATATACACCGTAAGTGTTATGAAACAGACAAATTTTTATTAAATTTTTGATACATGAGCCGAGTCCGAAAGGTAGTCGAAAGGTGTGATCACAGATGGGGGTGTGGGGATTGTGCGGTTGTCCTCGTTTTTTAATTCTTATCGTTTCTGAGACTTCAGCAAGTATCCCGCTACTCCCAGATCCAAATATCTAAGATATTTATTATTAATTGTCATAATTATATAATTTTTAATTTTTCTATAAATTAATTTATATATAATAATTCTTATATGTAAATACGCGCGAGACACATTGCTAATATTGGATAACAAACGAATGCAGCTTGTCAGATTTCATTTGAAACTTCATTTTCAATCGTTTAATTATCATTGAATCAACTGTTACCTTGTTTGGCGTGTAATAGATCCACGCTTAGTTCTTTTCACTGGTGTAACACGACTGCCGTCGTTGGAGACGAGCCTGGATGCAATTGGGGTTGATTTTTCAGGCGAACCGGTAGTACCTGATGGTACATTTGAAAGTAATCTTTTGCCTTGACGATTTTCCTTTGATTTTCTTCGTACACTTAAATCGGACGATACGACAATGTCGCCAAAAGTTGTTCCATAGACTGATGCTGTTCGAACGATTAGAAATATTATTTCTCATATATCGAACTATTATTTGTGTATTTGAAAAACTTTACATGTGAACATTGCTTTTTAATGTTATATACAATAAAACGTTTATTTCTTTCATTTAAACGCATGAAAGAATTTAATTAGAAATACACTAATGGTAAAAGATCGTATCGAACAAAGAAGTTGCATTACTTACGTTTTGGAGGGGATACCTGTCCTTGAGCGTTGATCATTACACATGCCAATACGATTACCGAAAGAGCCAAAAGCTTCCTCATATTTCTAAATGTAATTTATACGCGTGTATTCCAAGAATGTTGAATTTTTCAAACCTTCCAAGAGAAACAAAGAAACAAAGACAAAAATCAATAGACAAATGTCAAGGCAATGCGAATAATACGTCAAAATTTTCACGAAACAGTAATCTTTGTTGCCTGAGGTCTGACGAACAAACATTCAATAATAAATTATCGAAGACGTGTACGAACTTTGACCGTAGAACAGATAAATAAGAACAAAAAAGGGGAAAAAGAAAAATAAAAATAAAAAGAAAAGAAATTTATTTAATCGTCACTCTTTTGAAAATATATAAAACATGAATATTTCAACACACGAAGACTAAGAATAAGAATAAGATTTCGAAAATGAAGACGAAGACGCGGAGGAAGATATTGTCGTCTACTCACCAGAAGATACTTTTCGAGTCGACAACCGCACGAGAAATGCGGGTACAGTGATGCGGGAACTTTCAAGACAACACCGTACCCCTTGCTATAGTGTGTGGAAAACAGGAACACACCGTGGTCCGCATACGGGAGGAGGCGCTTTAAAAGCGTCGGAGACTGTAGTTTCTTGCACTGGACAGACCACTTTCTATTTCGTTTTTTTTATTCCTAATCTGTTTCTTTCTCTTTTACTCTCTTTTATTCCATCTCTTTCCAACACACAATTCACCATGTCTGCATTCATTCTATCTCGCTCTTATTCTTGACTGGTTTACCGGCTGGTAAAATCGCGTGCCCGACAGGGCCGTCTAAATTGTGGTTAACGATGGGAGTAACAACCTCTTCTCATTCTTATTCTTATTCTTATTCTTCTGACTCGTTCGTGTCTACTATTTTTTATTTAGCAGCTGGAAGAAACTAGCCGCGGTGTTTTACAATTTTTTCTTAAACGAATTTGTGCTCGTGAAAAAATGACTTTGGTTGTAATAGAATTTGAAATAGGTCTTTTCGTTTAAGTGATTTTTTTTCAAATTTATTAGGATTTATAAGTTTTCAATAATTCGGCATAAAATGTGTGTCGCTTAATTGCAAACAATTTTCTTAAAAAATATATATATTATATAATATATTTCTAAATAAATAATTCTCGATATAAAATTGATTTAACAATTATATTACACAATATAATTCAGTTCTAAGTCGTAGATTGCATTTTAATTGGGTGTAAATATTATACAAATGTATTATGGACATAAGAAAAAAATGCTGGAATCTCTAAAAATATAATTGAACTTGTTAATATTTAGAAATATATTATATTGAATAGCATTCGCGTATTGATCATTCAGTCAATTTAATTTTTAACGAAGAGAAGGGTATCACAAATTGGAGACTGCGGTACTGAGAAGATCGCGTGTGCAGATCGTCCGGTCATTGCTCGATGCTTTTCGGATTTCCATTTTACGTGTTTGCTTTTTACAAGTCCTCCTCCTTTTGGCTTCCCTTTGTGCTGTTAAACCCCAACCCTCTATATCTTCTTCTTCTTCTTCTTCTTCTCTTCTCTCTCTTTCTTTCTCTTTGCATCGAACCTGGCGTTGTTTCGTTGGTTTTATTTTGAAGAACATCTGGTGACTGGTATCGGTACAAAGCAAACTTGCTGCTTCTCAGGAAATCTCGAAAGAAGAGGGTGGTTTCTCTCTTGTTTTAACACTGTGCACTTTATTTATTGTAAACAATTAAAATTGTCAGCCACCCCAATGTAATAATGAAATATGTTATAAGAAAAATAAATTATCGTGCAATTAATTATATATGCATCAATTTCAAATAGAAAAACAAGAAAACAAATAAATAAATAATAAATAAAATATTCGAAACGTATTTGTATGTATATGAAGGGCCAAATGGAAAGATCCCGCGTCTTATTTTAATTTAAAATAAATTTAATTGAAAAGAAAATGTTGAAATAAAAAGGGAAAGGTAAGAAGTATATTAAAGATCGACATCTTTAAATGTCCCCGAGAGCGTTGTTTAAAAAGCATGTTGGGAAGAGAAGCTATGGTAGTACGAAGGAGATATCGTGTAGGTGCGAATTTTAAAACGAAAAACCGGTGGTGCATCCTTGCATAACTGGCTTGAATCGTACGACCGAACACGGTCTGAATCTCTTTAAAACGAGTTAATCCGTATATTCGTCTGTCCGTCTGCTGCTGCTGCTGTTTCTACTTTTGCTCTTGGTGGACCGCCTGAGAACCAAGAAGATTCATTTTCCCTTTGTCCATTCTTTTTCACACGTACCCAAAAGAATCTTGCCTCAATGGTACAATGCCGACGTGCATTTACGATTCTTTCTTTCTTTCTTTCTTTCTTTCTTTCTCTCCCTCTTTTTCTTTATTTCTTTATTTCCTCTCTTTCTCTCTCAGTCTCTTCCTGCATATAAATAAACAACGATAGGAAGACGTGTGTAGGTATATCTGTATATTCTAATGTCTTCGAACTCGTTGACCAACCAACTCGAGGACCAACAAAAAAATATATATTATTGATATAAGTGAGAAGACTTTTTTGAAACACGTTTTAAAGTTACTTTTCGGACATATATCAATTATACAAATGTTATAAAATATATAGTATTTTTATAATAATAATTCTTTCTATTTTTAATATTACATATGTATTTTTTTTTTCTTTTATATTTTAGTATTGAATAATATTGCAATTTATAAATAGTATATTTGTAAATGAATTTTATTCGTAGGAAAAATCATTTTTACGACAATCCGAGTATATCGAAAGTATATTTAATTCATTTGTTTTTTCAATTATTCAAGTTTACAAATAAAACGCGCAATAACATATTACGTAAAAAATACGTAAATGAGAGAATGTTTACGTCGGACGCATACGAGATAAGAAGTTGATAATAGAGGAGAATTTCTAAGAAAAATCAAAACATAATGTTTCATTTTAAATTGATTCTCGGTAATTACTCAGAAATTACAAGAAAATTCATACGACGAATGAAACGTTCTTTCCGGTTGTCTCTTCTCTTATATTCTTCAAATAAATATCATCTTTCTTTTATGATTCCACACTTTTATAAACGTATTTATGCATTTTATATAAAATATACGCATGAATATGAAATACTGTTTAGTTTTTCTTTTTATTTTGTCTATACATTTTTTTTTGTTTTTTTCTAAACATATTTTGTTGCGAATTCACACGATTTCGACGAATCACGTTATCATAGGTAAGAAATAAATTCGGCTTCGTGGTTATTTCTAAATCGAAATCATTTATCTAAGCGAGCGTATATATATTTAATCTAACATTAAATATTTACGTTAATAATATCGACAAATAGCTTGAGGGAAAGACAAGAATGAACATAAAATTATAGTTTATAAGGATACGCCTGTTAACATCTATTACAAATTATCATACTTGTTGCACAAAATCTATTCTAATGTGAACAAATGATTCGTATAATCTTCTATTCGACGTTATTAACAATTAATCATGTGATCTATCGAAAGTTAAATAGATATTATATAATATGATTCGAGTATTATGTCATTAATCGATTCTTATCCATATTGAAATAAAAGCTACTAGCACGAGCTTTCTACTCGCAATATATCTTTGAATAAAAATAAAAACATAAATGCACATGCATTTTTTTTTTCAATGTACGTATATTATTGGAATTGGGAAACAATTGTAACATAATTCGATAAAAACGCGAACAAGATTATTTTATCAGCGATTGTAAAATAATAATACATTAATTACGAGAGTTGCAGAATAAAAGAAAGTAAATTTGGATCGTGCAATTGATATTATCGATTACTCAGCAAAGATTGAACGTACAAGAATCGCGTTATCGAATGGCTGCTAAATCGTTGTTGAAACGTTAAGTTCAGTCTGGGAATATGAGCATGTCACTGGTATCAGCAGTAGCAGATGCGTGACTGGATGCCGATGATTTAGATCCGAATCCTAAAGAACTACTGGATGCATCAGCGTTGGCTTTGGCACTGGCCGAGCCAGATCCATGAGTGTACGCAGAAGATTTACTGGAACTATTTGCTGATCCACCACCATTCGAATACGCATTGGAATTTGCATCGGCATGGGATGATCCGCCAGCATTAGCAGTAGACTTGGCATTGGAATAGGCGTTTGATCCTGTAGAAGGGAACACACCAATCATTTAATTAAGATCAGACCTGATGAAACGGCTTCCATAAAAGCAGCTGAGGGTGATTTCGTCGAGTCGTTTGATCCCGAGTGACGATCAATTCTCGTCAGATCTACAGCTGAATTAATGAAATGAAGCTAATGTTAATTGGCTATTGTTAAGGCCGAATTAAAGAGAGGGTTATAGTATTTCGATTAAAGGTATTCAACAAATCGAGACACACATTTTTCGGTCATTTAGAATAATTAAAATGTACCTGATCCTCCGTAAGATCCATCAAATCCTAAACCAGATCCCTTGATGTTTCCGTAACCTGAACCTCCAGCATTAGCATTAGCACCAGCATTGGCACCAGCATTCGATCCAGAAGAACCGTATCCTCCATTTAAACTTCCAGAACCACCTTGTTGTCCACCGTAGCCGCTTGAGCCGCCTTGTCCCCCGAATCCAATTCCCTTTATGTTTCCACTTCCAAAACCATTAGATCCACCGGAAGCTCCAGCGTTTGCATTGGCATTAGCATTGGCATTCGATCCAGCAGAACTTCCACCGTATCCTAAACCTCCTCCTCCAATTCCTCCGCCATTACTTCCTCCAAATGGTGCACCACCAGATCCACTACCTCCTCCAATTCCTCCTCCAATTCCTCCTCCAATTCCTCCTCCAATTGCTCCGCTTCCTGCACCAATTCCACCGCCATTACTTCCTCCAAATGGTACACCTCCAGATCCACTACCTCCTCCAAATCCTAAATTTCCAGCATTAGCCGACGCATCGGCATTTGCATTGGATCCTGCTGA